TATGAATGATTATTATTTTTTGTTGATTTTTGATTTGAAGAAATTTTTGTTTTCTTATTTATATTAAACATCATCTCATGAGAATAATAACTTTCATTATAAATTGTTTCTATTTCAAAATAAGAATCTGTTGTTCTAATGTATACCGAAAAATATTCAAAATTTAACTTCATTTATCATAGTTTAAAAACATGATATTTTTCATTGATAAAAAAAATTCTATACAAATTTTTATCTCTTTTTGATAGAAAAAGAAAAACCGCGACAATGTTTGTCAATCAAAAATTTCTATCTCCTTTATATTTTTGTTTTTTCTTCATGAACCTTTAATTTTCACACTATACAATTATACATATAGATGTACATGATAAAGGTGAAAAATTGTACGTTGACACAAGTCATTATCGATCGATTGACTTTAAAATAAAATATATATATACATTACTAATAATCAATGTTCGACCTATTGGTTTATTCAAATAGATAAAATTCAATCAAGCAGAAAAGATATTCGTTAACTTCAATTAACTTGACATTATCGATGAATTATGAAGGAGTAGCAAAAGAAAAATTATATTGACATGCAATGAAGTTTATATTCTTTTTTTGTTTTTCTTTAATTCGATATAAAACTTCTGTGTTGTTGATTTTCTTATTTTAAACAAAAGTATAAATATATTCTAGGATGTTACGACAGATAATCATTGTATTGATTCATATATGCAACTTTCATATTGTAATTTATGTTCCGGAGGAAAAGAATTACCTTGTTTATCAAATTGTATAAATGTTATTGAAAGTTGTCTTATAAATGTTTCTTTAATTAATGATGTATGGATTAATTTTATTGGTAATATATATATATAAATCATACGTATAATCCGTTCTTATATAATCTATTTATTTATTTAGATTCTATTGAAAATAATGCATATTTTAATGGAATTGAAAAGACTTTATCATCCATTGGTATATCGATTTCCAATGCTCTTTTAACCCTTTTTAATTCTGATGGAATACAAAACAAGGATGTATGTAACATTAGATATTGAATAGTATGAATATTTCTAATAATTTTTCTTTTCCTTAAAGATCATCGATCAATGTGGATATATACAT